ATTTGAGCAACTAAACCTCCTCCACCCACTCTCCTTGCCACCTGGGAATGCCTCTTTAGCCTTTCTGAAACTCCAGAAGTTGATTCCTGATGGCAATTTCAGCAGTCCCAGCACAGAAGTCAAGCTCATAAGTGACTGTGGTTTGGCCAGCTGTGCCCTGAGCTGTCATGGTGCGTGTGTTGATTTGCTTCACGATCTGCTCAGCTCTGGTAACACAGAACAAAAGATCTTGGACTAGCAAATCTGGAGAAACCATCATAGGTCCAAAAGAACATATGTTCTCCGACTGCCCACCACGCTTCACTTATTATACGGGCATCTCACTGGATAGGAACCACAATGTCTCACTGGTCTCATATATCCTCCAAAAAGGCCTATTTGTTGTTTTGCTTTTGCTGCTCTGCCATTCTAGGAATAACACAACATATAAGCATTAGAAAGTAGTTGGAGACATCACAGCAGGATAATTGCTAATTAAACCAGGCTTTATTTAGGGTTAGAAACTCTAGATGACCATAGGTATTGTTGTCTTGTGGGTGGGAGACTTCCATTCCCTGAAAAATAGGAGCAAAACCAAACTACACACTTTTTACAAAAATGGATGTGCCTATACTGCAGTCATTGTACTAGAATAAGACAAATCGTCTGACACTTCATGCTACCAAAGCGAGACTGGTAAGAAAGCTCAAGACAGCTCAAGACAGCTAGCTCTCACAACCTCTCACTGCACTTTTGTCACTTCATGTCCTAAGAAGAGCAGGTTTGTCACAGTTTGTTAACACAGATCTCTGAGCATGTTAACTTCAACACATACACTGGGATTATCTGGGGCTATACCCCAGTTGAAAGGCAAATGCATTTTGCAATATGCCCTGCAGTCCTGATTCCCAATTGTTCACACATACTGTGGTTCCAGTTCTGCAGCTGCATTTTTTTGTGACGCAGACCAGAATGTATGCACCTAGGGTTAATCCTAACGTGCAACCAGTATGCGACCAGGCTCTGCACTTGCACATAAGAGCTGTGAACTGCTCCAGAGTCCTACTGTTCAGACTTACCCATTTTATCAATTTGCCTCATGTTAGGGATTTCTCAAAGATTTAAATGAAAAGAAGCTTTAATAACAGCTCTATTTATACTTATTATATTAGGAAAAAAGCTGGTTTAAAGTGTTTGGATAATGAAAAATACAGAAATAATATTTGCAAAGAATATTTTGTTTCTTTAGATATAATTACTTTCATATTCTCCAGATTAAATGTGTGCAGCATTTGAAATTAAGTGCTTCCATGAATTTTCACTTGGATGTCATTGAAAACAAACACAGACAAATGAAATACGTGCAGGTGTTGTAAAAGATAGAATCATAGAATCATAGAATGGTTAGGGTTGGAAGGGACCTTAAAGATCGTCTAGTTCCAACCCCCCTGCCATGGGCAGGGACACCTTCCACTAGACCAGGTTGCTCAAAGCCACATCCAGCCTTGCCTTGAACACTTCCAGGGATGGGGAAGTGCTTCACAGCTTCCCTGGGCAACCTGTTCCAGTGCTTCACCACCCTCTCCAGGAAGGACTTCTTCCTGATATCTAAGCTAAACGTCCCCACTTTCAATTTAAACCCCGTTACCCCTTGTCCTGTCACTACAGGCCCTTGTAAAAAGTCCCCCTTCAGATTCCTTGTAGGCCCCTTCAGGTACTGGAAGGTCTCCCCGGAGCCTTCTCTTCTCCAGGCTGAACAAGCCCAACTCTCTCAGCCTGTCCCCATAGGAGAGGTGCTCTAGCCCTCTGAGCATCTTCATGGACTCCTCTGGACTTGTTCTAACTGGTCTGTAATCAACAGTGCAGACTCCTAAGGTTAGAGGCGATTTCACTGATATTCTGAATCACCTCCAAAAATCCTTCCAAAGACTTTTGCATATTGTGACACTTAGCAAATATGACGAATTATTCCAGGTCCTTCGTGGCAAGGCACAGGTGTGGTTTTATCTTAATGCTCTTTAACCTCTTAATTCTTGATCATGTTTGGCTGCATTTTAAAGATTCACTACAGAATCAGTTTTGTTTGCAGTCAAACTGCTTTCTCCCAAAAAAAATGAGATTTTGTTAACTGCAGAGAAGGATTAGTTAAACCTCATAGAATTTTGAAATACTTCAAGGTATGTGGGATAGCACTCCATCTCTTAGTCACATGCATTTATAGCCCTGACCTAAAATTCAAGTTAATTTTCTGTTCATGGAATGAATATTTAATTTCTGAATGATACAGAGTGGAATTCAGACACTCCATCTTACACATCTCCCTAAGTATTTAAACAACAGAGTGATTAAGTCTGTTCCTCTGACACTATTTCTTTTGAGATACCTGTCTGACTATAGTGAAGAAGGGTTCTGCCACATTAGACAGGGTCACTGTTTCTTGGTACCAAATAAGAAAGCTTATTATCACAACTATGGCTGTTTTCTTTAATTCAATATGCTATGGGTATGGCTCAATAAATTCCATTGAGAAGCTGAAGTACACTGCTTAATTTATCAAAAGATAGTGAAGAAGTAGTATGCAAAGATCAATCATTATTTTCCATATTTCCTATTATTTTAATTATTTTCCATCTGACTGAAATCAGATTATCGGAATCACAGAATCAATTGAGTTGGAAGGTGTCTCAGGAGTTCATCTAGCCAAACCTCCTAGTCAAAGCAGGGTTAATGCTGAATTCAGACCAGCTTGCTGATGACCTTGTCAAGTCAGGTCTAAATTCCCTTGGATGGAGATTCCACAGCCTCTCTTGAGAACTGTTCCAGTGCTTCATTACCCTCACAGTAGATTTTTTTTTTCCTTATATCCAGATGGAACCCATTAGATTCAATTTATGACCATTGTCTCTTATCCTTCTACCATGCACTTCAGAAAAGAGCCTGCCTTTGTCACCTTGATAAATTTCAATTAGCTACTGGCACACTGCTATTAGGCACCACTGCCCAAAGGCCTTCTTTCTCAAAGTTAGACAAGCTCAGTTCTCTCACAAGTCATGTGCTTCAGTCCCCAACCATCTTCATGGCCCTACACTGGACTTGGCGTCGAAACTGAACGTAGTACTCCTGATGTGATTTAATAAATGCTAAGTCGCCGCTCCTGACCTACTGGCCATGCTCCCACTAACACAGCTCAGGAACCTGTTAGCCTTCATCACTCCCAGGAGACCATATTGGCTTGTGTTCAGTTTGCTGAACCTTCTTTCCAGGTCCTTTTCAGCAGACCTGCTACCCTGGCTGTTAGTCTCAACACAGATCAAATACAGCTGCTTCCTGACATAATACTAATGCACATCTGTTTATACGACAGAAATACATGTGTATGCTGGCACATGTGATGAGAGTTGGTCATATATCCTCTCCTATGTTCAGGCCATCCATCAGTTATGAGATGAGAGGCACTTCCACTTTGGTTCTGTGATGGACCCACACACAAATCCACATGCAAACACTTGTCCACTCCATTACAAAAATACAAGTTTCTTGTACACAAGAAGGGCACTCTGGACAAAACATTTAGATGCAATAAACCCACGGTATTTTACTTTGTAGTTTCACTCAGTTCTCTTTTCTCTCCCTTATTATAGCCATTTCAGGTTATTGTGAATAATAAAAAACCCAAACACCTGTGATGTTTTCTGTATGCTATTCATCTGCAAGTGTAAATAAATTTTTTAAATTAGTCTTAATCTTTTAACTAGGACTGAAAAAGAACTTAGACTGAGATGGAATTATTACAAAAGTATATGAGCAGAATCGGCTTTATATAGTACGATCCATATGATACAACTTATAAAACCTAAAACCTGCATAATGAAATGAATGAAAATAATAGATGAGAGAAGAGCAGAAAATGGGTCGTGTCAGTTGAATGGAAAGGTAAGCAACATTAAAAGACAGCAGACCCTAGTTTGAAATTGAGCTGCATTATTGTACATATTCCCCTGTGCTGTGCTGCTGGTGTAATGCAACTGTGACGGGAAGATGTTACTTTCCAGCACTGAAATGGCAGCTTAGATTTGAGTCAATTCAAGTACTGGCATTTAAATTGAGTCTTTAAACATTCTTGACCAGTGGATCTTTTTAACCCAAGTACAGGTATAGCCAACTACAGGTGTATGTATGATAATGTCTGATTCCATTAGACCATACCAGAATTGAAACTGCTCACATTGAAGTGCGCAATCATTAGTGCACGCATAAATTCAACATTAATAGAAACATTACATTGTAAGTCAACTCTTATTTTCAATACATTTACCTGAACATGAAGTAAAATGAAAAGTCTGCAGTGAATCTTTCAGGAAATTTATGAAAATTGAGAGCTCCTACAATCTCTGTCTCTAAGGTCATAATCCTTATCTCTCCTGTACCAAAGGAATAACTTAACTTCAACTAGTTTCAACTAGTCACATAAATCTTTGCTAGAAAAATCTTCTTGAGAGAAAAATTCTTTTTAGAGCAAGATCTTTGCAGTACTTGCTCATACCTATCTCGAAAAATAAAGATTTTTATAAGTAAGTGCAGAACTCACTGAAACAGCTCCAGGTAAATTAAGCCTTTGTATTGTTCTATCTTAATTTGACCCCAAATCCAGTTACATTCAGTTCCTAGTTGACTTTTGCCATGCTAGACACCTATCCATAACCCAACTTCTTTTGCAAAAGTAATTTGAAAATAACAAAATGCTGATGTGATGTCACTACCAGCCTAGGTCAGCTTCAAGTCAAGTACTCTAGAGGTGAATGTCAACATCCTATTTCCATTGCTAACAACCACCTAGCTGTAATATCTTTAGCACTGAAATACTGATCCCTAAATCACTACTTAACCAAATATTTAGGATAAAGTTGAGAAAATTTGAGGTACTCAGCAGTATTCAAGAACTATTTCAAATAAAAGATATTTGACCATGCCAAACCCTTTCAATAATTTGAACTCCAAATAAGAAAAACCATCCACCTCACCTTCACCACTCCATTTCCATGCATGGTGATACAGTTGTTGGGATCCTCTGAAAGTTGGTATAAAGCCTGAGCTGTAGCTCTGTGAACTGATGGATCATTTGACTTCAAGTAGCGTACTAATGGAGCTACAGCCTTGGTCTCTCCAAAGGTAACTCTATTGCTTCCCAAAATGCAACAGTAGGAAATGGCTTCTGCTAAGTGACGTCTTAATTTGTCATTGTTCTGAAGAAGGTAAAAACATAACAAATGAGAGACAACATAATATAATAAAAATTTCATAGAAAAGCAGAATTGTTTCTCAAACATCTTGAAGGCATCCTAATTTAACTGCAATACAATTAAAAACTGGAGGGAGCTGTAAGGTATGGAGCTAGCAGTCCGTTATTATTCTTGTTGTAGGAAGAGTTGTTGAATTTGATATTACTTCAAAGGTGCTTTTAGACTGACTGGAAATTAGATATGAGCATTAAAATGTAACATATAGCCCCATCGTCGAGATTCTCTGCATGGCTCAGACGTATTGCTCTCTCAACCCTTTGAGCTTTCTTCATATCGCAGCTGCATCTCTCAACAGAAATATTCAGCAACAGTGACTACAAAAATGATGCTCATCTTCCAAAGCAATTTCAGTACTGGTCACAGTGTGTTTTCTTGTCCAATACACATTGCATAAGGGAAGGATTCTACAGCTCTTCCTTGTAGCTGCTGCAAAACCTTTTAGTTGGGTGTAATGCAGTGTGACATAAGAAACACAGATACTTAGCATAATATGTTTAGAAATTACTTACTGTGTTTGTGAGTTTGGACAACAGAGGGATGACTCCATGATCTGTTATAACTGCTAAATTTTCTTCATCTTTAGCTATATTTGTAATGGCTGCACACACGCTTGCTAAAACTTCTTTGTTCTTTGACTTTAGCAAATTGACTATCAGTTCCAAGCCACCAACAAAGGATCGAACCATTTCCCCAGCATCCTAAATGACAATCAAAAGAAACGTTATATTTAAGTATTCAATCTGTATTTATATGCAAATGTTTAAAAAAGAGATTGGCACGACACAATTATTCCAAACTGCAGCTATTGCTGTGTTGCCTTCACCAAGGAGTATGGCTAATTTGGAACTCAGAGCTCTCTTGACTGATATATGAGTTACACTGCTTTACATACCACCATCTAGGCAGAAATGCAATGCCTAAATAAAGGTATCCAGTGTCATTTTAGGTATCACAGGGTATTCTTCACGGCCTCAAGTTGTCATACCATAAGGGTCCAAATCTCCCTTATCTGCTGTATCGTATTTACCAGGTGGGTGCCTCACATAGCTTCAGGCATCTAAACCAGTAACAGACACCCCTGCTTAGGCTCTCATATTGTCTTTCATTTCCTACATTAAGTCTGACAGCTAAGACAATGAAACGGTAATATTATTTTCTTGTATAAATGCAAATGAGTATTTAGGAATACTTTAGAAATGAGGTTACATAAGTCACAACCTCACCTGGGAGAGAACCACAGTGCATGCCAGAGTCTGAAAAATCAATGTAAAATGTGGCTAAAGCTCACAAACACAACTCTGGAAAAATGTCTATGTATGCTATTAAAAAAGAAATAGAAACGTAAAACATGTGCCTTGATGTGGAATGCAGTATGCAGGTCTGGTCAATCTTCTCCCTCTTGAAAAAGATGAGTAAAATTATAAAAGAATTTTGAATGGGCCCATCAGGTACTTTAGTTGAGGGGACCTTTATACTAAGCTTAGATATTTGTGTCTATCAGGAATACAATCTATAATCCAGCCCAACATTTTTTGTTAGATTTTCAACCTTTCGAATGCAGATCTGGAAAGATGAGTAGTACTCTTGAAATTCTTTGCCCAGTGAATATAGAAGTTAACAAATTACTTAATTGTGGATGAGTTAAGGATTTCTATAGAAACATAAGACTTAAGAAGAGCAAATGAACTATGATTATGAAATAGATATAGGTCAGAAACTACGGTGGGCAAGAACTTCAGGTGTTTTTTGATGGTCATCTAATTTTTATGGAACTATTTACTGAAAGTATGACATTAGTGCCCAAGTCTCACCCTTCACAAAGGGTAGTGAAAATAGGTCAGAGGAGTTTCTTGGTGGCATTGTGGTTGCATATCTTCAGGTGGCATTGGATGGCCTGGTGTCAAACTGTTATTACATTGGAAAGAGAGGAAAAGCAACTGGCCAAATGGACAGCAGTAATTCTGTAGAAGAAATTTTAGACTATGCATCTCAGTGATGGTAAATGTGCAGAGATGGAAAGAAAGGTCTGCAAGTGGAATTTCTTTCATTTGCTTCGTTCAACAGATCAATAGGAGAATTTTGAGTAAAAACTACTAGACACTCTCCTGAAAACTTTTTGGCTGAAAGGTCTTAGGACTTCATGAAAGTGCAAGCATGGATAGTATGAACTTTCCTAGGGCTAGGGTGTGACCCTGAGACCAAGAATGGTTTTGATTATATTTATTTCTTTTTGGTGGCTGATTTATGAACAAAGCAGGGTTTAATTGTATTGTGTTAGCTTTGCTGAGCAAATCCATCAAATTGCTCATGGACTTGGTAAAGAAAAATTCCCGAAGATGCTGCAGTTCATCTTTTCAGTTCTGGGTCCAAATGCCAAACAGAACTCTTAGATGTGATGTTTTCTTCTCTTGGAAAGCAAAAGCATTGGATAGGCCCATCAGGAATGAAACATTTTCCACCATAAGCAATGCAATTCTTGAGGCTGGAAGAGAGAGGTTAAAGCCATATACCATGATGGTCAAAACCAGAAGCCACAGCATGTGGGAAAGGGTAGTATCCAAGAGCAAACTTCGTGCTGAAGTCCTAAAGAATCCAGAATGAACAAATAACAGAGGCCCTTACAGAAATTAAAAGAGGATCTAAATGCATATGCAGAAGGAGAGTAAAGGTCTGTGACTCAGAAAAGCAGCTGAGAGAAAAAGAGAAGGAAAGGCAGTGCTCTGCCACTTCTATTACCATGTGAGCTGCACGTCAAGGCAGGTGGGTTACAGCGTGTTTCCCATGGCTGTGTTAGCATAGAAGTTTCTCTATCATTGCCAGCATATACATATCACAATGTAAATGCAGCTACAGAAAATCACCTGAACAAAACCAATATTTCTTGATACCAATTTTCAGGTCTGTCTTGAAATTTTAAAATTTGACCAAAGGCAGTAGATAATAGGTTACAGAGAAAGATTTCTACACAGAAATTTCTTATCTATACATATTAGAGGGCTAAACAGCAAAAATGAGCATGCACAGGAGAAGGAAAGAAAATGAGATACTTTACATTTACTTCAATTCCTTAAACTTTACTACAGAAGTGTGCACAACCTTGTGTCTAAATATTGGCTCAACGAATGAGAAAGATTTCTGTCCAACAGGTAAACTCTACAGTAAAGTGTCTAAGATGTGAAAGGGGCCTTCTACACATGAAAATGATTCTGCTTTTCTGCATGGTGCAGGGATCTGTGTATTATTATTCATGCTCCTGAAAGATGGTTCACAAAGAGATAAAATAATCTGTATGCCACCTTAATGAACTAATACGTATATTTTGTATTTTCCTACTAATATATATTTTCTTTCCAGGTGATTATAACCCTACCTGCTAAATTTTTTTCTGACTATCTTACACATACTTCATTTTGTAAAGGACTATGGTACACTTAAACTGATGTAACAATATATAAACAATCCAGCAGTAAGGAAAAGAAAAGAGTTTCAATAATCGTCTGTGAAACCAGCTAAACACAAGGACAGAACCTTCTACCAGTGATGAAAAGCAGAGGGAAACTGCAGAAACCACATGTCAGGAAAGTTTCCCAAATGTGATTGTGGGTGTAGTCTGGTGGTCTGTGCAAGACAAAGAGAAAAGTAAAGAAGCAAGAATCTGAAGAACAATGAGCAGAAAGAAGGATGGAAATTAGAGCTTCAAAATCTGTTATGTTACTTACAAGATTTTTTTTTTCTCAAAGAAATTTAAACAACAAATGCAATCTCCTTAGTATCATTTAGCAAAAACCACATACTTGCTTTGTACAGTAAATTTCTACTTTTTTTTTTAACTGGAAGATGTGTATTTATTATATAAAATTGTCATACTTTAAAGATATTTAAAGAAGAAATTATATGAAGTGGTGTCTGTGACTGAAAAGATCTGGATTTAATTCTTTTGAATCTATGTTCTTTGAGTATACTTGTATTAATGATCAGATAGCTGTTCATACTATGAAGTCTAAAGTAATTTCTGTGATTTCAGTATCCAAATACTCTCAGGCATGTTCAACTGTACTTATTTTTGTAACAGAAGAGAAGAAAAATCATCTGTAACATGTCATTGGAAATCTTTCTTGCATGTTTTGTTTCACATAGAAAAAAAGTAATCTTTAAATTCCACCTTCTAAATTAATTAACGCACAACTTTTTTTGTGAGACTTTAAAAGGCATTGTCTTTTCCGGCTATTAGTGTGTGATAAGCTTTCAAATTTACCTGTAGTCTTTAAACTTCACTGTAGAAGTGTGTCACTGTTTCAAAGTCTGGGTAGTTTACTATTGTGTAATAACATGATTTTGACATTGAATGCGAAGTGGAAAGTGTTCCATTTCCAATCGAAAACTATGTTTATACTTCAGTATTTACATACTGCAAAGTCTAATTTATTAATATAGCCATTCATTAATCTTACACATTGTGCTGGGTTTACTCAACAAACTTCAGGTATTTTGCAAAGCTTAGTGCGTATCTTAGGACACAGCTATACAAAAACAGCTTGACAGAAAAGAAGAATGCCTTTAAGCGAATATAGGCAATTTACATTCCTTACCTATTCTGACAAAGCCTTACTTTTTAGTTGTCCTATCATGGCTGCTCAGTTCACATTAGGCAGGAAAAAGAGATGGTATGGTTAAAAAAAGCCTAAGGAACAGCCTTTATAGATAAAATTGTTGATAAAATCATTCCCACTGATACGGAATAAAATAGATAATTCTATTGCATACATCTGAGTGCATGTGTTAATGATAGGTTGAATGCTTCTGTTTTCACAGTAATATTCCCTGAGCTAAACAAAGTAAGAGGCCAAACACAAAGACATTTAAGGAAGCAATAAAAAATGTTTAAAAAAATAGGGGTGAGAGGAGCAGGAACGTTTTGCTGTATTAGCAGGAAATATCTTAATTTTAAATCTTCATCGTTATTATAAATGATAATTTAATATTTAACCTGAGATGACAGATATGAAGAAATATAGATGGATAAAGTACATTTTAAGTGGCTGAAGAAGACAGGAAGAGAGAACAGGATTTTTGAATGACTTCACATGACCACATCTTCTACCTAGCAGGCAGCAAAGCTTTTATCCTCAGAAAGTATCATAAATACTATTTCAATACTGGATTCAAAGGGAGGAGTTTGCAACCTCAAGCAGTCAAAAAGACCCCTATCTGTTGTAGATGTTGAGGCAAGCAAAGTTACCTGCTGTGCTAATGAAAGCCTTGTCTTGCTACTCTTTAATCACATATTTTCATCTTGTTGAACTGCCTGATCATTAACAAAATTTAGTTAGCTCTCCATTTTCCCTTATTTATACATTGGCTTCTGCCAAGAGCAGAAATACTGTGAGATAGACCAGCTTTACACTTTTTTTTTTTTTTTAAATTAGGAGCAGAAAGCATTGTGATATTTGCAGAAAGACAGATTTGGAAAAAACACTTGATCATTTCAGTATTTATACAAGGAGTACATTTGGGATTTTTGAGTTCTCTTGTCATCATATTACATGGTTTTCTGTGGTTATTTTCATTTAGTAAATAAAGTTCACCAGCCTTAAGTTGAGACATACAGTTCTTGTAAAAGAACTACTGAATTATTTTGTAACTGAATTCTTTTCTTATTTCTTCCAAAGTGAATACTGGTTTCTTTATTTGAAACATT